GCATTATTTACTGCTTCCCTCCCTCCTAAAAAGGAGTCAGGTGTTCTGACTATTTCATTCATTGGCTTCACCTTTGTTTTAAACCAGGTGTGTGCCAGAATGGATATCATTTATTTCAAGGTTCCTTCATACACAGAAGCCTGAAGACAAATCTGCACCGGTTGAAAGTCCCACTTCATAAATATAATTTATTATCATTGTGAGGCACATGACAACTAGTAAAATGCAGTTGTTTACTAGTTGTTTACAAGTAGTAAAATGTAGTTGTTTAAAACTACAAACAGGTCTCTTTATTCATTTTCAAAGCTAATACTCTGCAAATACAATAAAATCTGACAAGGTAAAATTTTGGAAGAGTCTTGACTGGGGAGGTAAATTCTCCATCTTCCACTATGCTGCTGTTGGCCAAGTGTGTTTGGTTGCTAGCTGTTTTGTGGTTAAGTGTGACCAGGCATAAACTGGTTAATGCTGGATTTTGCTGAGGTGATTTTGTTTTAGATCTACCTGCTAACTCTGGTTCTTTCTTGAGAAACCCAAAGTTTTCTCTCATAAATGGCATTTATCTCTCTCCTTCCAAAGCAAATTGAAAGTTCACTGAAAAATTTCCATCCTGAATCTAACTGTGCACAACTACAGGCCTGAAGCTGCAAAAACTGTTGTTCTTGCTTCAAACTTATTTTAAGGCATTTCACTTTCAAAAGTTGTAAGTTATGCTGAGAGTTGAACAATGTGAAACTTGCATGATTGCAGAGCAAATCTCACACCTGCCAATCAGGTTTTCAATATAATCCCATTTTTCCTCAGTCCTCCCAGATCTCAAGTGCTGTCAGTGCTCCCCACTTCTACATTTCACTGGTGAAGAGAGAAACCAGAGCTGTTTCCTGCAACTGCACTGCTGTCCCTTTGCCTCTCCTTGGATTTCCCAACTGAAAAACGGGAACATAGTTTTGTCCATCCCCAGTGAGCCTGTGGGACTCGGATTTATGAACACATTCACAGAAAACCAGGTTGAAAGGGACAGCAAGGACCATCTTAGTCCAACCTTTCTTGGTAAAAGCAAGGTCTAGATATGGGCTAGTGTGCTATCAAGCAGAACCTTAGTGTCCAAAACTGGAAAATCCACCATTTCTCTGGGGAGATTATTCCAATGGCTGCTGTCCTCATTGTAAAAAAATTTCCTCTTGCACCTAACCAGAATCTTCCCAGGAGTTTCTTGTGCCCACAGTTTATCGAGATGACCATCCCCTGAGACAGCACTACTGGTAGGTACCTCTGACGTGATCTGGTCTGAGACTAGGACTCAGCTGGCCTACAAGATTCTGGAAACTGTATCATGGGTTTGACTAAGTAAGAAATCAAAGGTATTTTGTTTTGCTTTCATGCTTTATTCTTAAGTACATTCAAGATTATGAGACACTTGGACATTGTGATGATATTGGAGTGCACTCAGCATTGTACTGCTCAAGCACTACAAACTTAAATGTGGCCATCCACAGCTTACACTCTACTGGGGTTCCGTTCCTCATTTCACTGACAGGAAACTGAGGGACAAAGATGCAGAACAACAGCACCAAAGGTACTTGACTAAAAGAGTAGCTTTCATCATGGGTAGCTGGGGAATGCAAAAGACAAAGTTAGTCACACATGCTATGCATGTGAAAATGGGGAGACACGCCTGAGAGATGGAACCAAGCAGGCAAGCTCCCCAGCTGATTACTGTGTGTGAGGTGGAAGGATGGGGATTTATCGACCAGTGCTTTCCCCTCTGCACCCAGGCAGGTAAATTGTCTCTGGGTACCAGGAGTTTTCTTTCTGTGTGATGTTGCTGCTTGAAACAGACAAAAGGAGATAAGGCAGTGGTGTATTTTTTTCTGAGAGACCGTGAAAAAGATTCTTTTGATGAAAACCTCGGTGACCACTCTGTATCTTGACACATCACTTAAGGTGATGGTGGTATTTTGTGATGGTGGTATTTTGTGGATTTGGCTGCAGGGGTCTTGCCCAAAACTGCACAAATCATCATCAATGAAAGAAGCATCTGAAACCCAGGCATTACAGACACTAGATTTGTGCCCTCAGTATCAAAGTAGTTCTCTTCCATCTGCTTGGAGTTATATGTAGGTAAAATAGGCTTTCTAAATAATGTCACATTTGATCATCCTGATCTAGACCTTAAGTCTTGCTTGTTGTCTTCCTGTACCAAGAGTGACCTGTGCCACCTCACCATCCTAATGAAGGGAGAATTTGTCTATGAAACGCAAGACAGCACAGAAGGGGGCAGGGTAGAACCTTAGAATAAAAGAACAAGAAATTCAAATTAGGCTGAAGAAGCGAGAAATTTCCAACAGAGAAATTAACAACCTTGCTTAAGATAACAGGGAGATATGGTAAACCAGTTCTTCAAGGACTGAGATAATTTCAATTTTCTTCACTTAGAATTCCAGCCTACAGTCTCTGATGAACTTCTTGTCAACATATTATGGGCTTGACAGTGCTGCTCTTGTTTAGAGTTGTCTCCTCTTCTTGGCTCATATAGAGTCCAGAGTAATTTTCAGTCATCTGTTCAGGACACGGTTCAAAGCTCTGACATTATTGTTATTCTTTATCTTCTTTCAGTCCACACTGGTATACATTTCCTATTTTCTCTCAGAGACAAAGCTGGAGATCTGCTTCATTTGTTGCCTTTCAGAGAAAGAATCAAAATTGTCTCATCACTAAAGGTTATATGGGAAAAGTCACACAAGGGCATGCAAGTAATGGCCTTGTGGCCCCCTCAGCAGTTATGGATCCACTCTTCATGAAAGATCATGAAAATGATCCAGAGAGTAACCAGAGTAGTCTCCAGATTTCACCTATGTTAAAAACAGGACATGGAATTTGCCACAGCAATTAACATGCAGTAACATTTCTGAACTGGTAGTGATGTATGAACTTTCAATTGTTAGCAGATAGGCTAACAAATAAATTCTGCTCCCTGCATCACAAATTTATGTTTTACCCAGTATCTGAGGTCAAGACTTTAAAGAGGCTGTGCTCTATGAAAATGCACACACATAAGAGTGATCTGGTTACCTTGTAAATTCTCTACCTCTGAACTGCACAAGGTAGTTTTAGTCCCATGAAAACCACCTTGTCTGGAAATCATAATTGGAAAGGTGTAGACAACTAACAAGATAAATATTACACTAACATTTCATTGTGGGTTTCTAATACACACAACACAGTGAGACTCTAAAACAGTGATCCCAGTGTTTTTATCATACATTAACACATTTCCCGTAACACTCTTGCTCACTCAACCTGCCTTTTTACTGAAGTAACTTCAATTAGAAACAAATCCCTTTAAAACACTACTCTAGGAGGTACAGACTGATGTATCTGTCATGATATTAAGACCTAGACACAAAAGACAGGGCTTCATTTTCACATGAGTATGAAAGCAAGCCAGAATCAACACTGAACACTCATTAGCTCAATGACTGACCTATGGCAGGAGGACCTGGGAACTTCCTACCTTCAGGAAGTTCATAAACCACCTGCTTAATAAAGGCCACACTCAGTGAACTGAAAATCTACAGAATTCATTCAGAAAAGGTCCCATAAGCATAAATAATTGTTCTGCTTAGCCTTGTCTGTATAAGGTGCTTAAAAATACATGAACTTTAGAGAAAGCACCTTCATTTACTGATAAGTTGCTGAAATGATGCATCTTGAGATGTGCTATTATTTGATGGCTTTTTCCTCGAACCTCACCTCTGAGTTTATCCAGTTTACTCTTCAAAGTAGTAACCTTATTTCTTGCTGAAGATGAAAACAGTGAAAATACTGTGACAGAAATTAAGGACAAATATATGCTATGCTACTTTGTGAAAAACAAACAAACAAACAAAAAAAACCAAAACAAAAAACCAAACACTTTCCTTGGGAGTTACTGATTATTTGTGATTGTTAATTTTTAGAGTTCAGCTCAACAGGAACTGGCTGTCAGTTGTCTACTTTTAACTGTTGGAGACTTCACAGGGCCACCAAGAAAACAGTTGGACTAAGTCTCTTTTTACTTTTGCTGGTAGACCTGAATTCCACAATAAAAAATTAATTTCTGACACTGCACTTTGTACTCTTTTCTATCAATGTCTCTCATTATTTTGACACTGATAATGGTTAAGTTTGTACTGCCTCAAGGCACCTACAACAAGGAGCCATCTAGTAGTGTCAGGCCATGCCCCATAAACATACCAAAACACACAGACAGTGCTGCTAAAATGATGATAAAGTCTGTTGATAAAAAATTTCTAAACTCCACATTTAGCTTTAACTTGCGGACCTATAAATGCAATTCCTGACATGAATGTGACCATAAACAGGTATTACTGACTTGGTGCAGGAGGTAAGAAAGGTCAACACAATTCTGCTCTCTAGGGATCCAGATATAAGGGTAAGGAGGGGTGTGCACAGTGCAGCCAGAGACAGCACAGAAGGAAAGGCTGTGCCCACACACCAGGCCAGGACTACAGGGTACAGGCAGCCGGCACTCAGAGTAACTGCAAAGACAACAAAGGCTGCTTTATCTGCTCAAGTAGCACATGCTGTACAGCATTCCGACATTCTGTGAAATTCTAAGACTACTAGCTCAGATACAACTACATGCCACTACTTTGGTGAAACTTATCATGGAAGGTGTCTTCAAAGACTAATTATGCCAAGTTTTTCATCCCTGATGAGTGCAGAAGCATATCTGAACACTGGCATTTAGTTTCCTCTTCACTACTCTACCAGATTTCTAAAGACACCACACTCCATTATCTACTTCACTTACTTCAGAAGCAAACATTTTTTTATTTAAGCAGTGAAAAATAGAAGGAATTTTTAGCAAAGAATACCTTGGTAAAGAAATCATCCTTAACTAAAACCAAGCATCATCACATAAATATTAACGCAAATACAGAACACCATAATTTAGTTCTTCTCCAAAGTCTGTTTCTTGCTAGGTTCACACTAGGTGGGATGGCAGACATCTTTATTTTCTAGTTATCAGAAACTATACCCCAAACCAGTGTCTTAAAGTTACAGTAAAGTTGGACTTCTCTTTCTTATTTGTCCTGAACATAACAATTGTAACAGTTATGCTACAAAAGTACAATATCCCCAAAATCATGTGGTTATCTTGTGAAATTTATAGAACTGATGCCTCCACAAACCCATATGCAAAAAGTGTATTGCATGTTTATGATATATAATGCATACTTCCTTCATTTACAGTCACAAACAACAGCATATGCAATAAGAAACTGTTAAGCACAATATACCCTGAAAATTGGACAACCGTGAAAGTTTAAGCCTCTTCAACAATTAACATCTTTTGTAACACTGCTAGAACCATTAATGAAAATTTAAGTGTGAAAAATGTACATTCTTTATTCTGCGGTTTAGATACAGAATAAAATTTAACTTTTCAGAAAGTAAAACTATAACTATAGCTTTGAGAGCTGTCAGTTTTCTTTTGAGGATAAAGTACATACACCTTCTCCAGTTACTTTATTGCACATAATGTACAGTCATAAATGGTGTTTATTTACATGTGTTTTGGCAACGTCCATGTTTGCTTTTCCCCTCAGAATACATTATTTTGCACAAACAAAACCTTAAATGTTTCACACAAACTGCCATAATACAAGTCAAAGCATATATGTATATATGTCGCTTTATTGTTGCTGTATTTTCAATTAATTCTGCTGAGAGTTTCAGATCTCAGTTAACCTTTGCCTTGGGAGGCAGTCTCCTCCCAGACAGTCTGTTGTCAAAGATGGACACCTGAACTGCAGGCACCAAGAAATTAGGACTGCAGCCTGCTGTGCCTAAGCCCCAGCCCCTATGCACCACCTGCAATTAGTGAGCAGGCACAGAGAAGGAAGAGCACTGTACTTTTATTAACCAGTTTGATTCAACATTGATTACCACATGTTAATGTTATGGGTCATCTGTTATTTGGACAGTATTCCATTAACCGTGTTCTAGAAAAAGATATCAAACATATTAAAACAAAACAGAAATTCCGGGAACAATTATGTACTTCCAGCCCTAGGAATGTGTTACTCAGATTCCATTCTGTACAATGTGCTATTTCGGATACCTGGTATTTTTATACACAAAGTCAGCTTCTTATACTCATAAGTATGTTTCCCTCAAGTTAATTTCCTAATGGATGGTAACACATTTCAATGTTTCCCTGCATTTTCAGGGCAGAAAACCTTTTAGTGGTCCCCCTCATGGAGTACAGTCTGGCAATAAACCTTTTGCTACATGTAGATTTTAGAAATACTTTTAAAAGGTATGTTGAAATAAAAGATCAGTATTAGTACACTGAACATATGCTCATTAAAAATATCTGAAGGATGTTTTTGAAGGCACTTTATAATATGAAAAAAATATTCTTGGAGAAATCAAATTTATTGCACTTTGGAACAACACTTAAGATGTGAACAGCAGTGCTCAGATTTTACTTTGAAAGGCTAGATGGTATTTTTGTTTATGTTCTCACCTACAAAAAAAAAAAAAAAAATTACCCTAAGATAAATTCCACTTTATTGGATCAAAGAGGAATTATCTGATTGTCTTAAATGTATGATCTTTCAAACATTAAGACAATTTTACCTCAAAATAATAAGACAGACAAAGAAGCTAACTTCAGTTATTTAGGAATACTGAAGTCATCCTCAAATTCGGTTCTAAAAACAGCTTGTATCTTTCCTGTAAGCAGGCAAAGTATAAAATAGTTAAATTTTCAGACAGGCACTCAGGTAAATTGAGAAATGCCTTTGGTGGGCAACAATAATGAATATATTATTTTGATTTTAGAGTTTTCCATTTTTTTCTGTCCTTCAGCTTTAAAGTACTACAAAATTTACAGCAACTTCGACAACTGCATATAGTGAAGAATGAGATGAAAATGCACTGTGGACAAAGTATAACAGTAGTTAACATCTATTGATAAAAACACAAAGTAATAAAAATATTACAGAAAAGAAGTAGTTCTGGAAATAGAAGTATTCTTCAATATAAAACATTAAAGTTTTGTTCCATCTGAATAGTTTCACCTACACTGGACAGAGTCAAACTACATGTGCTTCTCTGGTAAAATTCTTTAAGAATATAAATTATTTGCTCTGTAATGACACTTGTTCCAGTAGGCAGTCAAGAGGTCCTGATATTATCTGTTGTAAATATCTAATATTCTTATCATCTGCCTGTGGCTGAGTTTTAGGATAGCAACATCATCTGTTAAATTAAAAAAGAAAACTGCACAAATGAAACTATTCAAAATGAATTAGTATTTTATCTCTACCTAAATTTTTTGTAGAACTATATGCCATTAGGAAACTCACAAACATCATCAAAGCTAGACTATTTTTCTCCATAAAATAAGAATGCATAAAATTTTAATTACTAGCAATACTGTGAGAACTCTTATTTATAAAGTTTTATATTGCATGTATTTCAAGATAAATAGTTTGAAACATCATAAATTAAAGGAGGAATTTGAATAGATTCCGATTCCTCATCTGACGTTTTACTATCTACAGGAAAAAAATGGACTTTCAGGAAGAAAACTGTTGACATCTGAAAAGTTATCTACATTGAGGATCTCCCTCAACCTTAGTGGCAATTACTGCCCACTTAAGGTTACAAATCTAGAACTACCTGGGAAATGTAAAGGAGCCTCAGACAGTGTATTTCTAAGAAAAGGGATGTGTATCTGTAAAAATATTGCATAGATGTACATTCAAAACAGCATTTTCACCATTTCAATTCCCTGCATTCATGTTGCTCCAGTCATCCACAGGGATAAAGATCATATAAAGGCAGCTCTGGAATTTGAAATGGATGTTGCTCGGTAATTTAGTGAAAGGTGTATTTTTGTACTTTCTGCAGTCACTAGGAAAAGATCCAGTTTGACCTTTGGCTTACAGAAGTTGTACTCCCCTGAGCTAGGCAATACTGATAGACTACAGCAGAAGTACCAAAAATAAAGTTATTTGAAACAGTGTGGTATAAACAAGGCACTTTTGCCAAAGGAAACCCCCAGGTTTTGTGTTTCAATGTACAGGAATTCTATCCAGAAATATTTTGTGCTTAGAAATGTCACACGATGCAACAGTGAATCAGGTGCCAAAATCAACAAATCACAACTTAATGTGCGATTAACTGCAACCGCTGAATGGTTCAACAAAGAATCAAACTGGTTTCTGTACACCCTCACGATTTACCAATACACTGGCATCTTTTCTTCTTCTGCTGTGAGACAACAGTAATTATTTTAGAGAAAGAAAAAGAAAGTGTGGAATTAGTAATGCAGATGCTGAAAGGCAAGTGGCAAGACTCTACAAGAAGAATGCCTCAAAAAACGCTACTTTGTTCCCATTTCTACTGGCACCTATTCCCCAAGGTAAAAGGCCAGAATGGCCAAAGCCAACTTAATAGTAGTGTGCAGAATGTCAGCTGACAAACAACATAAAAACAAGTCACGTTGTGTTATCTGTGGTCACGTTCTTCAGGGTTAGTCCAGTAACTTGACTTTACATTCTTCCGTCTTTATTTGTTTATTTTAATTAAACATGTAATGGTTAATAAACAGACATAATCCAGAGTTAGTAGGTTGGTATTATAACATTTATTAAAATAATGCTATGGGTTAATAGAAACAGCAAAGAACCAAAGAATTAAAATGCAAGCTATGTAAAAACCCAACTAAAACCCAAATATGTCTAATGTATTCATCCAGTAGCTAACTAAAAGCCCAAGAAAGACAACACTCCCAATATAATAAAGTACTGCAAAACAATTGGCAATTTTTCAGTTATCAAAATTGTGGGTTTTGCATTTTGTATCCTTTTTTCTCAATCAGGAAAAAAATTCTTTTGAATGTTATATAACATACATATAAAACAAGATAGAAAAATACATTATAAACTTGTAACAATGGCTGTAAATACATTATCTTACATGTTTCTCATAGGCAATAGGTTGGTTATGGTACATACATAGCATGAAACTACTAAGATAATAAAGAATAGACAAATACATGTCATCTGTACGGTTACATACAAGCGACACTCCCATCTACCCACTCTAAAAAAAATTACATAATACTGTCAGAAAGAAGTCTTAAAACTACTTATTTTAATAAAGAAAAAGTCATTAAAGAATGATAATACTGAGAACCAAGGCATTCAGAGATTTCAAAAGTCATGCTTTTTTTTTAAGCTGATCCAAAATTTTGTCAACTAAGTTTTCAGAAGTTTGTTCAGAGCAAACATTACTTTCACATGTCACACATCTATTCCATACATTTCCCCTCCCCCACCAGAAAAAGACCTTTGATAAATGTCTAAAATGTCCAGGTTTTATCATAGTTGAGATGAAACTGGATCAAATACTGGTATTGTTTTAGCAAATCTCTCTTCAAATGTTTGAGTGTCGCAAGTTTATTCAACCAACCAACCAAAATAAAATCAAAATGGCACAGCATATACTGTAAATAAAATCAACACAACTGTATGTGTAACAGGAAGACAAAGCTGGTGGCACAATAAACAAAAATCTAGCTGAGTACGAAAGGATGAATGTCTATTGCATAGTAAATAAACTGATAATTATTTCCAGGTGAGACAAGATGTTAGATGAGGTCACCATGCAGGTGCTTAAAAATGTAAGCCCTCTTAGCTTACTATTGACCTTTCATTTGGAAGCTGTGAAGATTTGCAGGAGGAGAATAAGTTGACAAGAGGGGAGTAAAGTTATCACCTGATATTTGCCAAGTTTAGTACTGAGCCCCACAATGTAACAATTAATGTTATCAGAATTAAATACTGTGCGTTGAACAGCTTCAGCTCTTGCAATTGCCCAGCTATTCGAACCTCATCAGAAACAAGGGTTAAAAATAAGGTATATCTGGACTTCAAATGGCTGAAGTTCCTCTCCTGCTTATCTTTTCAAGAAAAGCCAATGGGCCAGATCTAAAAATATTCAAAGATGAGCTGAAAAGTAAGTAACTTCCATGCTGTTTGCCACTGCAGGAGCTGTTCCTGGAAACTCGGGATGTGCTCCGTCACTGACTGAAAACTTGCTAAGCACTTTCAGTTTCATTATCTGCAGAACATCCATTTTCTGGGTGATGCTGAAGACTCCTACATTTGATGTAATATTTATTTCAACCAGAATCTCCTCTCCATCCCTGAACAAAAAAGATGTAACTTCCAGCTCTACAAACATTTGTCAGCTAATAATCTCCTTTAGCATGAGACTGTGTATATCACAGAACCCTTTGGTTTACGTTGCACAAGTACAGCATTTGCTATGATTTAAAAAGTGGAGTGGCTGGTTTGATGAAAACTTAGCAAATACTTAATGAGATTTTGGCAAAGTCACATTACACTAGTATGGCAAAAATCAGGTAATTAATATGGTCAACTCATCATTTGTCTTCCCTCACAGCTTCTTTCACATACTGGGCGACTGAGTGGCATGCAGTAACTTGTCTGAGGGAGAAGCTGATTATACAAGACATTTGACTAAATGACCATGAAGAAAATAAGGCACTTCCTTTTCTTTAGACTTATTCCAATACTTAAAAAATAAAAAAGAAAGACTAAAAGGCTCTTTTGGTCTTTTGTTTCTTGACAACCACCAGAAAAAATCATTTAATGAAATAAAGGGTTTCTTTGTTCTTTTTTTCTTTTTTTTTATAACACTTGAAAGTATAAAATGCTACATTTCCAAAAATATATTTTTTTTCTGCACCAGCACCCTTGTATAGTAAAAGTATCTACTTTTTTGTTCATTTTGTTTCAATGCACTACACTTTATCTACACTTCATTACATGTATACAGCAAATAGGCAAGCATGGCTTTTACATCCTTAATGAAATTTTTTCTATACAGGGAGGTTTAAAAAAAATATTTGAACAGTTTGCCCAGTAATGTGACACATAATGCATGTACCTTGTTCTCATGTAATCTTCCAAGGAGATTAAAATATGGTTAAAACAATTTAAACCTTATTTTGCTTTAATAGTGTTGCTGTTTTGTTCTCTGCATTAATGTAGTTCTGAAAAGTCATCGTAATCTGCATTTCATGGCACACTTTCCTTTAAAACGTCCAATTTGGCAGGCAATAGAAAAAAGGCTGCAACATCTGCCCTTTGAGGGCACTGGTAGTGACTAAACAGCATATCAAATTTTGAATACTTTTTGGAATCCCTTCCCCAATGACATCCCTGACCAAAGGTTCATGCATGATGCATCATCACACAGTACATTCAGAGAGAGCTTTGACTTTTTTTTTTTTTTTTTCTGAGAAGAAAAATATTCCTAGAAGTCTCTCACAGTAACTGCCTCTGTCATCGGGTAGTTAAGGGACATCTGTCTCCATCTCGGGCGAGGCCTCCTTACCGTTCGCTTGGGGCAGGACACTAGAGGATGATCAGTGCGGAGGGATGAGTTGGACCTTATTGCTTTACTACTATTCAGTGCAGGTTCTAGAACCACTTTCACCCAAACAGGAGAACAACAAAAAGTGGAGTTGGAGGACAACAATTTCTTTGTCTGTTTTGTTAGATGGTAAGACGAACGGACAAGTGCCCCAGCTCGCTGCACTGAAGACAGGCAAGCAAAGGCGTTTACCAGTTAACTGATCAGCAGGCAGGCATGGTCAGGTCATCATTGGGTGAAGAGTTCAGAGGTCAGAAGGTCATAGGTTAGTTGCCGGTGGCGGCTGGGTGGTTAGAAACAAAAATAATAAAAAAAATAAAATAAAATAAAAAACAAAAACAAAAAAAAAGAAAGAAAAGATAGAGAAGAGATTAGTTCCAGCTAGTGACGGCTTAATGACAACATGAAAACTAATCACAACTAATAAAAAAAACAAGCATGTTTAATTCTGACATACTGATCGACACCATCTACAGAATGCAATAAAATCATGACAGCCCTCCATCATGATTTGGACACGTGAAGGAGAAGCCCACTCCCACAAAACCGGTTAACAGGAGAAATAGAGATAAAATATGACTAACGACTAATGGTTAGTAGCAGTCGATGAAGAAAACTGGAAAACAAAAAACGATGAACAGTTTCTGAACTGGGTAGAAGATTTCTGGAACAACAGTCAGTGCACAGCATCAGTATCTGACTGCTATTAAGCATTAGTACCTCCCCAGGTGCAAGCATTAAAGCAACTATTAATGATGGATGTGATTATTAATAACTGGTTGTTAAAAGAATGGAGTCATCTAAGGAATTCTGGATTTAGAGAAACAATTTGGTTCAACAAACTATGGGCCAAACAAAGGGTTTTTGTTCAATAAATTTTTTATTGCCTTTCATTTATTCTATTTACAAACAACATGGAATTTCTTGGCCTCATGATACAAAGCAGTACTATAAACTGTAGTCTAACAATGTAGGCATCATTGTGGAAACCAGGAAAACGCTCAGCCTGCTACTACAGCTAGCATTTTCCCATTCAAAATACTATTTTACACATATAGGACACTTATAAAATGCACTTGCATGTAAACACTGTAGAAGTCCTGCCATTTTAAAGTCTATACTTAAAAAGCTCTAAGTACATGAAAAAATAGAGAAAATATCTAATTGATACTAATAAGGCATTTAAAACTACAAACAGCTCTCTTTATTCATTTTCAAAGCTAATACTCTGCAAATACAATAAAATCTGACATTTCATATACATTCCTGCTTTATATTTTTATATTTTAAAAGAAGCCACCTGTAAATACTATTTTCTTTTGCAAAAAAAAGGAAAAACAAAAAAACAAAACAAACAAACAAAAAAACCCCAAAACCACAAAGAAATTACAGTAAAACATAAAAAAGTTCTCAAGTGGAAAGTTATCATTCCCAATGTTCTTGAGCTATTCCTTCTTTAATCATTCTCTCGCATTCTCCTTCACCAAACTTGGTCCACTTAACAGTAGTATAATTTTTTTTTTTTTTTAAGACTCGTTCAACAGCTTAATTAGAGCTAATAAATTCTGAGGTTGATAAAAGTTTCTGTACTGTTGCCATTTTGACTAAGGCAGAGGAGATGAAAATGAGAAAGGTATTCAGTGCAAAGTCAGATTTGTGCCATTACATAAAAGGAGTCCAGTAGGTGTAATATTCACAGATACCGTTGATTTAACAATCTTTCTTGTGGGTTCATTTACTTTCACATAATAAAAGTGGCCTATCATTTAGGATAGAGTTCATAACACTACGAAAAAATACTACTGTAACATAAATGAGACCAAACGCTCCCTGATTTTTTTTCAGAAATATAAGTGGGATTTGTTTAAATTATAACAGCTGTTTCAAAAAGAAGAAAAAATAAAAATAAATATTTTATGTGGCACAATCTTACCACTTTACAGGTATACTAGAAACAGACTCTTAAAGCATTTTGATATTCATTACAATTTTGATTAAAAGGTATTAAAATTTATATATAAATTATGTGAAAATTGGTTTGGATAAAACATTTGAAAAAATTCTCAGCATTAATATTTCTTGTGGAGTTTAAAATCAAAGCAAGCTACCTTTAAAAAATACCAGGACACCTGTGATACATCCTCTGCCAAGTCTCTGGCCTTCTACAGTACACACAGGTTTGTCAACTGTGCAACACCATTTACAGTTTATTACAATTAAATCAGTCAGTCTCTCTGTTATATGAATCAAAATCAATTTTGTATTATTTATAAACTGGGGGTTTACTCTGAGTTAAAATGAGCTATATTTTCCAACCCTTCACCAATTCTACATGCTTAGTTGTAAAACATTTACACATTTGGGGATTCTTGCTTTAAATGCAGTGCTTATATCTGGAAAAACAACCCAAATCCCAACAAAAACCAAAATTATGCAAAGAATAAAAACTACTTAAAAAGTGAATCCAGTAGTACTACAAAATCATCTGAGAGTCAATTTAGAATTAAAAAAAAAACCAAAAAACCACCAACTTTAGACCCGATGAATGCAAAGATAGTTTTAGTGACACTTAACGGCATAAAAAAATATTTCCACGTAGAAAAAAAAAAGTATTTCGGTTTGCTGACATTGCTTTTTGTGGCCATAGCTATAGAAAGACCCTGGTGACAGAACAACCAAATAGATAAATATAGCAAATACTGATAATATTTTAATTCTTCAATAGAATTTTAGTACATTAAAAAAAAAGTTATTGCTGGATAAAGTTGCCACCAAAACCTTTTGTGTGAGACTTTTAGATATGTGCAGTAATAACCTAGGATTTAAAATTCTAAATACAATTAAGTTCAGTTGTAAAATTAACTGGGATTATTTAGATAAGACTTTCAAATAATGATTTCCTGAAATATCAGCATAGTTTTCCTAAGAGAGAGGTATGCATGATTTATTCCACATTTATTTATCTACTTAAGACAGTGGGTTTCCAATACTGCTAGAGATGAATGCTGGTTTATCAGAAAATGGCTGTTATTTTAAAAGAAGGTGAAGTTATGCCAATAATTATTTAAAATTACTTTTAAATGACCCAGATGAAACATCTAGGCCTTTCCAAATATATTATAATAAATATAATATATCTATGTTGAGAAAATCTTATAATGATAAACTACAAAATGGTATTTTCTCCATGAAAACACCCTTGTTCCCACTTTATCTGTGTATTTACTAGTTATCACAGGCAAATATCTAATTACACAACAGGTAGCCATATTTGTCACCTGAAACTATCACTGCAGATCGTAAAGGACCATTAGCAAAAAATTGGTTTTTGGAGCATCAGATCAAATTTTCAAAGGCAACCAAATCCTTATCACCAATGTCTTTTGACTGAGATAGAAAAAAAAATATTTCAACTTATTTAATCTTTTACTTTTTTTTTTTTTTTTTTTGTAAACATGGGCTATGACCTTTAACTGATTATAGCCTGTTGCCTCACTGAAATGTTCTCAAGAAATGAGAACAAGCCAATGGGTTGCAAATAGTGGGCAGTGATATATAATCAATCTTACAGAAAACTAGTGTCTTGTATCAGCTTTATGCTTTCTGTAAAACCTAAGATCATATCAAAGACAAAAATGTTACATAAATATACCAAATATCCAGGAGAGCCCCTTTTACTATATTGGCCAGAATCTGTATTCTCTCTTGTAGTTAATTATGGAAGGTTGTGAGAAGTGTGGTCAATGTTAGGAGATGTCAAATCTGTCATTGCAATTTGGCTTTTGAATATTACAATATCATGGAAGCCTGCACAACATTGATTTGGATGAGAGAAGAATAATACTTGGCACATAATGCTTTGCATCCTCAAAGCCCTGTACAAAACAAGAACCCCCACAACATCCCTGTGAGGTAGGGAAGTATTATTCTCATCCTTATTTGACCAATGGGAAACCATACACAGAGAGATTAAATGACTTGTTGAAAACCACAGTGAGTCAGCAGCAGGGATGGGGTAAGAATTCATCCCCCACACTGCTTCCTAGACAATGTCAATAAACCGAAAATATCAGTTTTCTCAATAAGCTTAAACATTTCATTCAGGGGTCCAAAGGCATGACACTTGAGGAACAGGAGAAAAATGAAGATTTACTTTCCATTCAAGGATTAAAGAGAGATGCCCAAATATTGGATGTCATCTCATCAACAGGTCTTCAAAAGTTGTTTCTCCTTCAGGTTACAGATTTTAGCAGCAAAAGGCAAATACCAAGAAATAGATTTTGAAAAAAAAACCCGAAACCAAACAAAAACCAAACCAACCTTAACACCCTCCCTTCCCTTACCCACTCTAATTAAAACTCAAACAACTTTTGAAGTTATCTTCACAGCCCTTACCTTTCTGAATTCAGTTAGGTATCTGAGAACATGCATCCTCCTCATAATATACAGTACAGTGGCTCAAAAGTTTATTGGAAAAAAAGGAATCTAAATCTTCAGATTTCTCCAAACACAGACAGGAGGCATTTATTCCTTTACTTCTTTCTCATTAAGCAACCATCCATTCATTTTATTTTGCAACACCAATCTGATATTTCCATGCCAATTAAAAGAATGAACCGGGGGGGAAGGGAAAAGAGGAACACGACCAAATTACTTATTGCAGCACTGATTTCATAGCGTTTCCTGATGCAGATGTTTCATTTTTAAAACTGAATCAGTTATAGAATTTCTGTTAAATATATCCAAGTATATATATTTAATTGAGCTGGGAAAGCCAAGTTTAGAATTTATTTTTTTTAAACTGCAAGCATTCCCAAAGGTTTAAAATATTAACTGTCCAGCTTTTTGAGAAAAATCATGAATGGGTCAAGACCGGGTGTTTGGTTAACCAGCTGTGGTGTTGCAAATCTCATGTACACTCAAAGCACTTCTTACAAACAAGAACTGCAGAACTAAACTAACCTCGGTCTGCGGTCACAATCCTTTGGTAAGGATGGACACGCATATCGTGCCTTCGAACTTTAGTAGCCACCGCACCTAGTTAAATTGCAATTACCAAGACAAAGTTAGAAAACATTCACAGAAAACATTAACAGCAGGTTTATCAAAATGGATTTAAATGATCATTAACTACAAAAGTTCATTTTAAGAAAAGCAACAAGTTAAGGCACAGTAGTTTCAAATCTTAATCTTAAAAATAAGTTTATCTGTGCAGATTAATATTGCATTTATTTTAAACATCCTGGCCTTAACCTGTTTAATCCATTCATTTACAATCCCAAAATTACAGTATTTCATGAAATCTATTAGACCCAAGCACATTTAAGCTTTACTAGTCACATATTCACTGAAGTGCCTTTCTTGCAGCAGGACTATTTTAAATAATGCCATCTTTAATACTGACAATTACTTGCTAACCTTAAGATCACTTCCAGTTCTACCACAAAAAAAACGTTTTAAAGCAATTCGTCAAGCCTACAGATTGTGATTTTAAATTTTAAGTCAATAAGTATGAACTGCAATGAATTAGGTGATTAGTAAAGCAAACACTAAATAGAACACTTAGCAGTCAGTATACTACTATACACTCATAAATTACAGCTACTCTGTAATAATAGGACCTAATCCAAATTAATAGCACTATTTTATTTTAAATCTATGTGCAAAAAAGTGCAAGTAAGTCACTGACTGCTAGGCCAAGCTTTTTTCAAGGCTGCTGAAAACTAAGCATTTGTTAAAATTCAGATCTGATGAAGGATCAGTTAAGACCGTTCTTGAATTCTTAGCCTTTCGTTGGGAAAGCCATACCTGAAGATAAAAGGAAGGGAATTGGAAGTTAGTTACCAACTAAAATTTGATCTCAACACCAACATCCCCCAAAATAGACAGGGATGCATTTCCCTGCCATTTTAACCAGAATTATTTTAAAACATCTTGGAAGTCCACCACAAAAATGGACAAAATACTATTAATGAGAATGAGCATATAACAAAATAAAACTCAACAAAATCCATATTTAATGCAATTAACTCTATACAATTGCTCAGATAATAGAGCAGATGTATCAAGAGTTATCGATTCTAGGCTGCTAAAGTGCAAGTGTGGGGTTTTTTTCCCTGCTCCGTTTTCCTTCTTTAAACAACATTTTTTTGATGAGGTCTGTTTTGGGCAATACACCTCACACAGTTAAGCCCGAGAGTATGCCATGGTTTCAGATGCCATTTTAGAAGTAATTTTAATTTTTCCCTCAGATCTCTTTATAGAAAATCCTGTGAGATATCCAGGTTCCCTGCATTGTAATAAACTTTACTCTGGAAAGCTTATTTTTTACTTGCTATTAACTAAATTCAGAAAAGGAACTTGGCACTAGCCACTAACAGCTACTTTGATGAACTCTCTGTGACTTTACCCCAGGATGTACGACAACTGGACTCACAGACTGGGGTTAAAGGAGCTAGGAAGAATATTTACATTTTTGTGGGAAATTAATAAATGATAATGTTATCTAATCTGTTTGCAGAATTTTGGCAATGGGTTAACTGACAACAACCATAAGCTGACAGACGTACTGCATACTTTTGTCCTGCTAGAATTTTTGTTATTGATTCACTAATCCCACAAGACAGAAGTCTGAAATACATTTTCTTTTTTACTGCACATAATGTGGAAACATGCACACATACAGATAACTCACCAAGTATTTGTCATGTGAAACACTGATTTTTTGCAATACTTTCAACAAAATATTGACTTTGAACCTTATTGTCCAGCGTTCATTAGAGATGTTCAGAATTCGTGTAAATCAATAACTGCCACTGAACAAACTAAGATCAAAGTCCTATAAAATCAACATTATGCAGCACCAAGGTCATATGCAATTCAGAACAAATTGAAGAGAAAAGATTATTTAGATTCTGGAGAGGGTAGGGAAGGAAGAAACTATTGGAACTGCTTGTTCCATATTGGCCAGTTAACTGAATTGTCACGGCTGCTTTATCATTCTTGCCTTCACACGCCAAGTCAGTGGTCTGAAATATTAGGAATGATGGATATTTCAATGCAACATATATAAAAGAAGCCATCAGTAAAGTTGCTAATTTTATCATTCTTTGGTGAGAACTTGGTTTGCTTCATATTCATTCACTAAGATAGTTTTCTGCTCACAATATAATTTAGCTCTGACACTGAGATTTTTATCAGTTCCGTACTAAATAAACAAAAACTCCAATTCAACAAAGACTTTTCCACTCCCTCTAGTTTTGCTACTAAGATGATACAGCAAAATAAGAAGCCCTCTCTTCTAAAAGTTGCTGAATAGTAATTTATGTTAAATAGAATACAAACTGATCTGTTATTCATGGGAGCCCAGATGACATGTAATAGACCTCAACTTGTATTTAGCTTTTTTTCCCCTTGCCTATGTATCTACCATCCAATATCATACAAATATGAAGAATTTATTTTTGGTAAATTTATTAATATAAACTAAGCACACATATTCAAGAATGCTGAATATATTTAACAGGTTTAAGAGCTGCACCATTTGAGCAGCTCTCCTAGGTGGTATTGATATACCTGAAGTTTGCTGCTTCCAATTTTTTTCTTTGAGCTCCATGAACCTCTACCTTGCAAATACAACAGAAGCACGAGCAACACATTCTCCAGTCATTCACGTACAAAGGTCTTACCTAATACACCACTAGGTTCAATAGGGTACTCAAGGATTGATGTAGCTGGTGCCAGCGTGTAGGGGTATTCGTATGGTGTGTAAATTAAACCGGCCTCGGGTCCGGGTGGAACTATTGCAGCGGTGGGATGAGGAGTTCCGTTTGGCATGACAGCGGTTTGTATTTGTCTGATCAAAGGCATTATGGTAGGGCCAGCTGGCGTAGGAGTACGCAGGGCAGCTGGTGGGAGAACAGGCGCAGGCCCAGTAATAATCCTTGGAGCCTGGGCTGTTGCTGCAAGAGAAAAGGCAAGGGCTGCTACAGTAAGCAAAGAAATTCAGAGGAAAGTATGGAGATAGCAGTACAAAACGTGGAAAGAATGGGAAAAAAGGGAAAAAGTAGGAAAGAAGAAAAATAAAAGGAAATCATTAGTACATGCGCTGATCACACAGTGCCAAAGCACACCATTCAAATGCAAACAGCTTTCCATTTTCCAGTGTGATTAAGTATGAACATGCAAAATAAAAAAGCCATTGTAAAACAGTGAGGTAGATTTCTCAAACAGGTTACACAGCATGAAAGCTCCATTTAGACCACATTTCTTCATTTATGCTATCCAGACTTCATGAGACTGAGATGCATGCAGGAAATACAAGGAAAATACTATCACAATCAAATACATAGTACAAAATTTAGTGCATCTATAGAGTCCACAGACACTCAGTTATGCAGAGCTGCTGTATGAATCAAGTTTTTATATGTCTTAAAATTGTATTTAAACATGTACACAATTCCCATTTCCAGGATCAGTGAAGTTGAAGATGACCTTGGAACATGAACTGGTCCTGTCCTACCCTAACAGGAATAGGATAGGCTCGAATTTTATTTCCATATAAAATTTCACCAAATAACATACTTCCTTTGTTAGAAGTTCACCATCACCTTGCTTAAGTTAAAGAAAATAGGTGGTTTTTCTGTTTTGGTTTGGTTTTTTGTTTGTTTGTGGTGGTTTTGTTTGTTTTCTGAAGTGGTGCTAGCACATTTAATTAAGTGTTATTTGAAGCCTGTTGGCAAACCAGATGAACAACAACTTAAGCACTACCACATCTGCTAGTAACAGTCAATCTTAAAGGGCTGTAATTTATGTATTTCTATGCACTATTGTTGATCTATATTGATTTAATTTACCTGCAGGTGGCCTGAAAAGAGAAATGTGGCAAAGTTTTTCAGATTTGAAACTGGTGCATATTTAAAATTATTTTTATGTTTTAAACAAAAATGCTCAGATAATTTAAAACTGGTGCTCAAATAAACAGCTACTACATCTTCAACTTTTCAGTAAAATCAAAATACAAAGAGTGAAACTGTCTTATTAAATAATGAGTATTAGTGAGGCAATCTCTAGTCAAAAAATAAAAAAATTATATCTTCCCACTTACACTGATACAACACACCAATGCAAACAGAACAGACAAAGAAATTGCTCAAATTAATAAAAAAATTTTCAGTGCAAAAGTTTGCATCTATTTAAGCTACTCTGAAAGATCTTTAACTCATAAATGTGCAATAACTTAGAGACTAACATATATTTAAAACTGACCTAGCTTTAAATATCATAATGTCCATTAGGACTGAAGGATTTACCATTACCATTGTAGTCGTAAAAGCCTTATGCCCCTTTTCAGATCAGAATAATTACACTGGTGTAAGCACTCTCAAATTGACCTAACTGCATTCCAACCTTTAAACATAATCAACACTGAAATGGGGACTGTGTGGAGAAACAAATTTGCAAATATCAGTAGGTCCTTAGTGAAAAGACTGATTTAACTGTGCTTACATTTGACATCTGTATCACAGCTACAGCAAAAATGTACTTTTGAACAGCGTCAGCAACTATATTTTCAGGAGGAGAAATCAGATTTTCAACTGAAGAAAATAATTTGTATCACACATAAGAGGTATATGCTTTCATTAGTAGGTGCGTGTAATTAATTTTCAAGTGTAAACTTGTGCATACATGCGTTCGCAAAAGCATTTTCACACAAATGTAATGGAAGTAATCGTAAAAACAGCTCATTACATCACTGATCCGTGTGAACTCAGCTGTGAAATCAGTTGATGAATTGTTGGTAAAACATAACATTGGGGGTACACATGCAAGCAAGATGAAAGGAAGGAATACAATACATAAAAATGTATTCACAGTATCCTGAATATCTGTAACATTTTAAAATTAAATCTTTAAAAATAAAAATGCAAAGGAGTCTACTGTCCTTTATATGCTTTAAGGAAAAAATGACTGTAAAATAGAAAAATATGGCTTAAGGGTTGAGGTTTTTTATACTATATATATTTGTATGCATTTCAGCCCATACACAGTGTTAAAAAAATGGGGACAAGAAACAAGCTAAAAAACCCCGCAAATGGACAACTTATCCCCTAAAAATCATTTGCAACAGCTACCTACAGTTTTGTTGGGTTCTTACTGCCTACCATTCTCCAACATGAGTTTCTACTGTACATTTTCCAAAGGTAGCTTTAATATTCAAAACCTGCAAACACTTCTATGGCATTGACCCTTGAGCTCATGACATGCTTACGTGATTTGATGTTGGCATCTCTGTAGGTGCCATTCAGAATTGCAAGCTCCATCAGCTGCATCTTTTTAAGGCTGTCTTCTCCTTCTGCCTGCATATGAAAAAATGGGAAGGAAGTCATTATTATGAATTCACTAGTGCACAAGATCTAAGTGACCTAGAATAAAACTGTTTAAGTTCTAAACAAGCAAAATACCTGCTTATCATTATCACAAAAGCAGCAAACTTTGTCAACTTTTCTATAAAATTAAGTGGAAGTTGCTAGTTGACTATCATTAAGACTTGCTGATGAATATCTTGAAAGAGTTTTGGAAAAGGTTTATAACATAAATTATAAAAATTAAGGATTAAATATAAGTTGCATTTGGTAGCAACCATTTAAGGATGCTTTTTCCTCAAACACATTTTCATGTACTCCTAAAAGTATCTTTAAATAAACTGTATTATTGGGCCAGAGGAAGAATAGCCACCACAAATTTTAAGCACAGCGATTTATTGCAACTTGCTCCATTAGAGGTGATACCGACTACTGTGGGGGTGGGGCAAACAAAAAAATAAACAACAATCTTTGAGTAGCTTCCAGACAGGATATTAACAACTGTCCTGAAGCTGAGCTCCTAATTCAGGGACATGTAGATGCATTCCGATGAGGATATAACTACTATTTACACAACATACATTACTCTTGGTTTTGCTTCAATAAAGACTACTTCCCTGAAGTTACCTACTCCATTGATATTGTGCAGGTTGATAAAATTAAGCAGTGTTCATTACAACAAGGCTCACTTTTTCAGTTAATAATGGAAAAATTTCTAACAGCAACATTTCATTTTTAAGACCAGAGATTGTCTGATGTGTCTTTCCAAAAATACTACAATTTGCTTAGTCTACACTCTATTGAGCAGAAAGCATCATTATGATATAGGAAACACAAGAGGGATGGTCAATGTCTACTTTAATGTTAGGTTACCACCTTGCCTCCTGTATGGAATGCCACTGCTGAAATTCTTGAGTCAGATGCATAGAAGGGCAGCTTTCCTGAGAACTGCAATGCATTCTTCCTTTGCTAAACTGGATTTCTTACCTTTTTACTTAACTAATCACACAATATTTTCCAGGTATTTGGAACAGTATTTTCCAAGTTAATGAGCTTGTTATACATACTTGACTCAAAAACTACAGATTAGTAATTTACTGAAGTCTGAGACAAAAATAGTTTTCAAGTTTTATCTAAGCAAATCCAGTACTTATTGTGAGGTATGCTCAAGGGCCATGACCCCTTGCAAAGGGAACTTTTAGCAGCTGATTTTTATCAACAACTCAAAATCAACATGGCAAGATGAGTCAACACTGAATTCCTTTCAAATGTCAGAAACTGAAAGTCTCAACTGTAATACTGAGGCCTTGTATAAACAACAATATAATCACACAGTAAACATTCAGAATATACCAGAAGTTAGACATTTTCTTTGTATGTTAAATACTGTATGGCAGGGCAAGCTGGCACTAATACTAAAAAAGGAAATATACATTCAATTACCATTTTAACTAGAAATTAATTGTACAGTTAAGTACTGTATCATCCAGAAATGTCAGACACCATAGTCCCATAGACCTTTTGGAATACAAAATGTGCCGATTCTAGAAATCTTAATACAACACAAAACAGATTTATAATTTACATGCAAAATAATTTTATCTTCTTTTTTAAATAAACTATTTTTCCATTGCATCTTTGCTGGTAAATTACCTAGGCAATCATGACACAATAAAACCAATTCCAAATCTATTTCCCTATTCAGAGTTCAAAAATTCTCATCATTCTGGATATACCTTATGAAGTTATTTTAGCAATAAAGATTTTTTTAACACATTGATTAATCTTTTTCCCTCCCCTGTAAGTTGCACATTCTTATTTGCTTTTTGTTTGTATTCATGTATTTCTTTATTAGAAAGTGTGTAACAAGAACACCTCACAATGTCAGCTGCATCTCCCATATAGTTCCATTAATGTTACTAAAATTGCACACTTCCTCCAAATAAGACCTTCAGGAGATTGATCTATGCCATTAAGACTTTCAGTAAATGCTGAATATTACACTCCACTTGCTAGTATAATTTTAGTAACCCTAATCCCAGATTTTGCACCACAGTGAATATTTCTCAATAGAAATATTTATAGAATAATAATTTTAAGACAGAAAATATTTTTACCCTTTTGATATGGTGTGAAGAAGGAGGTATAAGTCCAAGTAATCATTATTACTTTAACATTTTCCTATAGGTCACTACTGCTTTCTATTAGAAAAGATGTTGCAATTACTGGAGTTTATGAAGTAAGTTAATGGAAATAACTGTGGACTTAAAGCAGACCAATTCCTTAACTTTATTTTTGAGATTTGTTTCTCTAGACTATGCTCAGCAGTTGATAAACTTTTTTTTACACAAATCCCAACATACAGCTTAAAATTTTCCCTTAAAAATGTATCATTAAAAAAAATCAGAGATGCATGATGTGGACTTGCATTACCTGACATTAGCACTGACTCCTGACTTCCGTGCTTTGATTTTTAAAGCATTTACTAGATACCAAAAAAACCCCACCCAGCCCCAACAAAAAGCCCACCCCACCACTTTAAAAAACACGTGTAACACTGACCACAAGGTCATGGTCCCGGCTCCTCCCAGAAGATGGCACTGTTTGTTGTACAATGCCATCTCTGCAGGACATGGGTTCACAGCACTGCAGCCACCACCCACCTTACACTGCTGCCCAACATCCTGCTGCCCTCACACCCTGCCCTTGGAACAGTCACTTGCTACCTCCCCTCATGCTGAAGTCACTGGGACACAGTCTCCTGTCCTTCACTCTCTGGTACCAAGCTCTCCACTTGCACATCCTTCACCAATGGCCAACCCCTCCAATTTCAAAGAGCTGCGGCAGAGCAAGGGGCTCATGTTTTTCTCTGCCCTATCCTCTCACTTCTTTGCTGACAGATGATCAAATGAGGCACATGAGATCTATCTTAGCTCCAGGCATTCCTGCAGGCACTGTTTGTTAAAGCAAAGAGAGGTTGCATCAGGGATACAAAGGCAATCTCTAAAGGGACGGTGCATTACCTGTACAATAGCTGCAACAAAGCTCAGTCATTTGTACCAAAAGGAAGCTACTTTGAGCAAACATCAATAAGGTCACTTAAAACTAGATTTGCATTACTAAGTTGAAGCTCAAGTGATTGACTCAAACCTCTCATCCTCTTTAAATCTCCAGTGCTTTCCTTGTATTTATCATGTACAATATAACATGCAGATTAAAAAAAAAGCCTTAAATGGTATATTGAAATGTAATTCTTTAAATGTAAGCAACTACTTGCAAATGCTCACTGAATACAAATTCAGAAGAGATGGAAGCAGTAAATCCTAACAAAGCCACTGTGCACAGACACCACTGGGTGCTGTTCTGTGACACACAGCCTGTAACTCCTCACAGTAGCTCAGCCTGGGCTAGCAATAAATAGACCTAAAGGAGACCAAATGCCAGTGAGGACTATCATTTTAAGTAACTTGCTTTCTATCTTTGTCAGTGTAGGATTAGAGTTGCAAGGCTCAAAACACAAGTGCCATGTTTTGCACTTTGTGAAGTCTCTGAGAAGCACTTCCTAAAAAAACATGCTTTCGAACTAAATAAGACAGTGCTGACCATACAAATGCCCAGTTAAAACTGCAATTGTCTTCCCTACTTTGGACAATACCAAGAGTTTCACAAAAAAGAATGCAATATATTATATAACTGCTATTAGTAAGAGCTTTTTTCATGTCCTGAAATGGGGAACTTAGATAAAACACTCCAATGAATTATTTTCATTACCAATGTACAAGCTATATTTCAACCTCAGATATCCCAAGACCTCCAGAAAATCCTCTATTTTTAGGTACTGAAATGCCTGATTCTCATGTACATACAGTACTCTGAGGAGTATAATACACTTTATCTTATTCATATATAAAACATACATACACTAGACACATTTGTTATCCAGGTGGAAGATAGACAGGGATGCAGACTCTAAAGGTAAATGCCTTCATTGTGCAATGTCAGTGAAGGACTTCAGCAGATGACAACAGTTTTTAGAGGTGAAAGGTGGACTGTTAGATTATGTCAATTCTGAGAAGCCTGTAACAAATTACAGCAGAGAAGGAAAGAAAGGTAGTATTTAAAAGAAGGATCGAGTAGCAGTGTTTAGGATAGAGCAGAGATCCATAAACTAGACCTATAGAGACAGCCAGTGGCCACACTGCCCCATACTGCTACCAGGCCCAAAAGGAGTGTCACTGCAGCTCAGGTAATTCAGAAACCAAAGAATCCACTCACTTGTGTCATAGCTGCGATACCTTATTCTGACAGAGCTTCTTGAGCCTTACAGTCTCACGCACGTAAGTCTCAAAATGCACTCTGATTTTCATTATTACTAGGGCTGGAAGGAAGGCTTTCAACACATCTCTGCAAACATACGTGCCTTCCCCCATATAATGCTCCATTTTCTTTTGAAGTAACTGCTTAGGAAAACATAACAGATACACTCCCCCCCCCCACCCATTCATAACAAATAGGTCCTCATATTTAGGTGATGTCAGTGACTTTCACTGACAGTCTAGCTTCCAGATGTCACGCATTTCAGATGGCGTTTTTGCAATCCTGCCATATCCCTGTACTTCAGCTGAATTATCTGAATTAACTGAAGCAAGCCCAGCCCTAGGAAAGGGAGCAGACAATTTTACTATTTGGGACAAAATGCAGCAAAGTCTGGCTTTGGGGACCAGTTCTTTATAAGCTGTTCCAGGGCTGTCCTTTCAGGCTCAGAGCAGGAGCAGCAAGTGGGAAGACAAAGTGGTGGCAAAGCAAAACGATGGCCAGATCAGCCTGGAACACAAGGGACAAAAACTAGTCCCCATCTTCCCCTGCCCACTGCAGCAGGCCTGTCCCACCAGGCTCATGGAAAGAATGAGCAGGGGCCTCAGCACCATGACAGCACCAGAGAGCACTTCCCTTCCAAGCACCTCAGGAGCCTCTCCTGCAGAACCGCCTCCCTG